ATTAAGACTGCAACCAGCAGGTCAAGATAAGTGATTATTATCCCCTGTTCAGCACTTGAGACTATATTTAGAGTACCTTGTCCAGTTCAGGACTCCTCTGCACAAGACAGGGCACTGACATACTGGAGCAAATCCAGCAGAGAGTCACTAACATGATTAGGAGACTGGAGCACATTGTGTGAGGTGACAAATGAATTTGCTTAGTCTTAAGACAAGAAAGCTGAGGAAGGAGCCTCATTGGTGTCTCCAGCTATGCAGTGGAAGGTTATAAAGATGGAGCCAGAATCATCAGAGATGCACAGCAAAAGGACAAGAGTCACATTTCATCAAAGTAAGTTCTGACTCGACAGGAGGGAAAAATTCTTCACAGTGAGGGTGGTCAACCATTAGAGAACAGGTTGTCCAGGGCAACTGTATCATATCCTTCCTTGGGGATCACCAGAGCTCAGCTGCACTAGGCCCTGAGCAGCTTAATGCAACTTCAAAGCCACCACTTTGTGGACCTCCAGAGGTCTCTTCCAATTTCAATTATTTTAGGATTGTACTATCCTCTCCTCCCTTGTTGGTTTAGTTTTGTTAAACAGCGTTTTCTGTTCCTCCCTTCTGGATACTTCTGTTCTTCACGCATTTAATATATTGTCCCAGTCTAATTCATGATGTGTAGTTCTGGGAGGAAGTAGGGCCCTCCACAATCACTTGTAATAAACCAGCTATGAAATTAGTGATGACGACACAGGTTAAAGAATTAAGCAAATAGTTTAAATGTAAACAGTCAAAAATGCATTACAGAACATCTTCAGAAATGTCTTCCCATTTAGCATTAAAATACTGTTAGCTATGTTTTGGTATTTAAGAGGACTGAGGGAAAACACACATTCATTTCATGAAATAATTAAAAACACAGCACAACAGTTCAGAAATTGGATTAAGCTAGATGCAGCTGCAATCTTCAAACTTAGTTTAAACCAAATTTGAATATCTGCAACTGAAGCTTTCAAGTTATAATCATGCCATTGACCTTCCTTCTCCTCTCCCTTTTCTTTTTGGTCACTGAGGACTATTGAAAGTATCAGAGCTCCAAGTCAAGAACAACTCCCTTGTAACGACGACTCTGACACGGATACAGTGAGAGCAGATTGCCTGCAAGGAAACAAGAATAAACTGGCTATTTAGAGAGATTATGTAATGCAGCACAGAGCTGTAAAATGAGATTTAAAGAGACAGCACTTTGCCCTTCAGCCCAGTAGGTAACCATAAGAATTAACCAGTACTGTAGGAATTTGAAGAGGCCCAGACACAGAGGAAGAAGTCTTGTCAAAGGGTCTCCCCTCTGAGCTAGTATTTTATTGATAATTCTTCTTTCTCAAAAAAACCAGCGATATTTAGCTATTTTTTTTCAAATCCTCTAAAACAAAGTTGAAGCTGAAAAATTTCATGGGTGTGCAGGGTTTTACTACAAAAATGAACTCTATGTGCACAGATACAAAGCATTTTGTGGACCTGAGCTTGTTGAACTCATGGAGCTTCATACACTCAATTAGCATAGTACAGCACACTGAAAATCAAACTGATTATGAACAAATACAACAGTATTAAGTCTTTCCTGCATAAATATTTTAGCAAGTGTAAACAAGACTCCCATTTTTGTAAGCAGCCAATTCCCAAGCAAACACACACAAACATCAGCTGGTTCAGCAAAGAAAGGGAGGAACTATGAACTGCCATGCCCCACCGCATTATAAATAGTGAGGAAACGTACAGCAAAGGCACATGCGATAAAGGAGACTAGTTATGTATAAAAGACACTCTCACACAAACCTGGAAACTAAAAAAACCTTCAGGATTTGCTCACGGCTCTGTTTACAGCACACACATATATATATATATATATATACACACATATATATAAAACCACCAATGCACAAAATGATGTTTTAGAAGAGTCCAGAACTGTTGAGCAGTTGTTGGGAGATTTTACTTCTGCATTTCTTCACTTTAGAATGCAGGAAAAAAAAATAAATAAAGTTATTACCTTAGGTAGTCTAATGAAAAACTGTTTTTCATCTAATTCTAAACATCCTTTCACTAAAAGCCTCAAAAAACAGCAGCATCATACACTCAGCCAACCCCAGCTGCTTCACTGGTAATTAAATAAGAGACAGTGAGCCCATATCACCTCCCTTTCACCTCCCCGGAAAACACAGACATTACAGTAAGGAAGAATTCGGCCCAAACTAGATGGGAAAGGAGTGGGGGGATGGAGGGCTAGCAGGGGGAGGTGGTTGTTTTTTAAAAACCAGCCAGTCCCTGCTCTGTTGCTGGACTCTTCCCCCACCACATCAAGCCTGCAGGTTGCTGGCAGGCAGAGCAGGCGCAGAGCGAGACCCGCCAGCGCTCTCAGACCACACACACGCTCTCAGCTGCTCTCGAATGCTCTGGGGATGACTTCCATCCGCCAACCACCCCTGCTTCCCAGAGCCTGGCTCTTCCCTTTGGCCATGGCCTGCATGGAGCAGCATACAGGAGAAAACCTACAGGAGAAAACCGTGTGCTCACACCCCTGGAAGGCAGCGGCAGCCTTGACGCAGGAGCCGTGAGCGAGTGGCAGGAACTGAAGGTGCTCTCTGTGCTGCACCAGCATCCCAACAGGAGCTAATTTCAGCAGTGCTTCTGCAGCTCAGTTAACTCTGGAAATGCCAACATTGTGGCACCCGCAAATAAATAAATTTTTTCTGATCTGCCATCATAGCCATCCAAGGATAACTGCTCATTTTTAGTACAGTCAGCTATCAGCGCACTTCAGTTTCAATGAAGAACTCCATACCTTTCCTCTAAGATACATACAGTAAGTTCATTTACCTTGCTACACTTTGAAGTCTAACCACAATGGATATTAACATAATTTCATCCCCCCCCCCAAAAAAAAAAAACAACATGATTATGGGCACACAGTGACAGGGTGAGATTTTCTAAGCTCACTGCCATAGCTCAATTTGCAATTAAAAGCTATGTAAAGCTAAAAGTGTGATTAAAAGCAGCACACAACCAGCTCATTATACAGCAGCAGAAAGAAAAGCCTTTCAAACACCAATTGCTCTACCTGAAATATCAGTTGCTGTTGTCATGCCTGGGACTAAGCAAGAACATCACTTAGCTCACTGAAAAGAACTTTCCCAGAGACAGATTGGCAGCATGACAAATGTAGGTTGACTACAGAAATCAAAGACCAAATACTTGCTCCTTATATAAAGGATAGGCACAAAAAAAAAAAAAAAAAAGAAAGAGAAGAAAACCTGCAAAGAGCCTCAGAGAGGTATAAGTGAAAAGAGAAATTATTTTCCTGTTTCAAAACTGTTTGGGAGATAAGTTCATTTAAAGCAAGTATAATTTCTTGTATATGATGCTGATATACTTCAGCCAAGTCAGAATCACTGTGTGTGATCAGGGAGGCCCCACACACAAAAGCTGTGGGGAAGGAAGATGCTCAGACATATTCCCCAGCAAACACTCATCCAGGAAAGGAGCTGTGTTTAGATTCCAGAAAAACGCCTACACTGTCTTTACTTGTGATTACCTTTCAGCATAACCAAAAGGGCTTTTGAAGGATTCAAACACTCTGAGAAGCATGAAGACAGATTTTCTTCCATCAGCATTTTACTCTTCTACAATTAAAGACAACTGGGCAGTCCTTATCCACAAAAAGCCAACTTATTTTTAAAATGCCTGTGCAAAATCACAGTTTTGATTAAAGTGCCTAAATTGAAAGCCAAACTTCGCTAACTGTAAAAGGTATTTTAGTGGTTTTATTCCACTACTTATATAGGTCACACATTATACAGGCATTTTTAAAACTCATGAGATAGTAACTTCGGGCCTGACACTGAAACTAGCTCACCTAAAGTGCAGGCTTTACTCTGCCAAACAAACAGGGCTCAATAGTCTTCACTACAAACAGCTGAATAAAACATTCTGTATATAAAACAATCTGTATCTAAATCAGCTGAATAAAGCTGAGTAAAGCAATCTGACTAGAAATTCAATAACAAAGATCAATCTTAACCTGTCTATGCCTATGGAGATATAATATCAATCTTATTTTTTATACCTGTGCAAGCATAACAGCAGTTAAGATTCTCTGTGTTTGAGCTGCAAGTGTGAGACTAATTTAGGAAAATATCTTTTTCTAAAATATCCCCCCCAAATGAGTACCTTATCAGTAAAACCCATCTACATCCCTGGTTAATTACCTGTCAGCTTCTGAGACTTTGCTATGACAGTCCATCAGCTGTCATCTCCAAGAGACATGAGACAGGAGTATTAATTAGCCAAAAAATGACAACTCCTGTCCCTTGATATGAGTAACAGCAATTGAAACTGGAAGACCGTTCTGCTTCTGGAATAAAAGCTGGTTTTATTAGCTCTCTTTAAAGAGTGTAGATTATGTAGATCTCAATTAAAACGTAAAGCATGTAATGAGAATATTTATTTAAATATCGTCTGTGCACTGAAACCTTTTTTCCATTTTTCCCCTCTCTGTTCAACAATCACATATTAAGCACCTGATTATTATGAAGTGTGCATAAATATATGCATTATCTCACAGTTGTACTGCTTAAAACCAAAAACATTGGAAGAATTATACTTAAAAAAAAAATGTGTAAAGCATTTCAAGAACCCCGAAAACTGACAAAATAAAAGGCCACAACAGGTTTAACAGACAATAAGAAGGTGCAATGGGCATGTCAACCTTGAAAAAGACCTTTTAAACTGTGGTAGTATTGTCAGGTGCCATTACCCTTTGTCAGCCAGCTACCTGACCTCATCAATCAGGTGGAGCAGCCAAATGAGAGCACGATGTAAAATCAGCACCAGGCAGACTTGTCCACTGAACGAGAGGCCTGCCAAGGTTTTAAGGTCACTTTCAAAACTAAAAATTAATTGTAATCAATCATATTAACAAGAAAAAAGGTAATATCAATAAGACTAAAACTTGCTAGTACCATTCTGCAGAGTTTGTGCACGTGACTCCTTTCCCAGATTGGCATGGAATCCTCCTCCCAAAGTCGGTGTTTTGCCTGCACCTATTAGGGGAAAAAAAACAAACACCAGACATGTCAAAGGCAACAACTTAATTAAAATAAAACTTATTGTGCCACTATATGCAGTATCTGTATAATCTACAACATGTCAAATTACATTAAGGAAGGCTTAAAGGACTTAAGACCTCAAGCACCAATGCTGTGCAAATTATTTCTTCCTTGGGATACTGTAAGAACCACATGGCTCCGTAAGTCCTCCCAATCTCAGCTCCAAAGGAAGTACAAAAATCTCTCGATGCCTATTTTAGGTAGAATAAGAAAATCAACACTGTAAAATATTTCTCAAAGTAAATGGTGAAAAACTACTTAGTTAATATATTTTGTCTGAAGAATATTCAGTGTAGAGTTTTAATAGCTAATTACTGGCACTACAGAACATAAAACCTGTTTAGCATTCAACAACAACTGTGTTGGCTACTGCAGAAATAGCACTTACTCTAAAATAACTTCAGTTTGTCATTAGGCACACAGAGCAACACTTAGGCTACAAAAACTGCAAGTCTGGAACTGCTACTTTTACACCCTGAAAGGTTGGAGACTAAAAGATGTCTGAGTTGTAAATTAGCATAAACTAGAGGCTGGTTTATGCATCCGTGCCAATGCTGAGCAGCCTGAATGCAGAGTCTGCTGGGAGTCAATGGAACTACTCATGCAAACCAATCTTGCAGAACATGGAATTAAACTACCCAGGACAGAAATAGTCTCCACTAAAGCAGGAAAGTTTTTTAAAAAACAATCAGGCTACTTCAAGCAGGATATTCGAACCTATCAGCTTAACAGCAAGTGTGACCAAAAAGCTAAATTGCACAGGACAGAAAACAAGCAATTTGTTAGTAATTGGACTTCTACTTAATTCAAGTAGTCTGCTCTTCAGGATAGAGAAAAAAGTCATCTTGTTGCCTATGATGCCTACAGCTTTTCCTCAACTTCTTGTAGCTGTTTTATCCTCTTACACCAGCTCTTCAGAATAAACTAGGAAGGCTTTTTGACAGACACATAGAGAGGAATGAACTGGCGTTTGACAACGGTTCAGGACATTTCTCCTACCCACCTGAATAAGATACTTTTTAGCTCTGGTCTCCTCTCAGTTACACTTAATGTACGTCTATATTGAGGAAAGAAAAACCAGAACAGAAAAGCTAACATTCCTCAAGAATTACTGTCTATCAGCCTTCAAAGCTTATTTTTCCATACAACCTTTAAATTAGGTTTCCACATGAGAAACTAACTTCACTTTCACTTCATTAACAGATCCTTTCAACAAACAATAACTTTCACCCAAATGCCCCACAGATAAGTACTTCAGTTCAACACCCTAATTAGAAGCGTAAAACATTCAACAGTGACCTCCTCACTGGGTACAGAGGTAACTCTCCCAACTCTGTATTTGACTGTTACAGACAGCAACATCTCCTTGGCATTCTCTACAGGTACAGCTTCCTATTTCCACAAAAACTTGAAAACAGATTGATGAGGCAAAACAGAGAGAGGTTACCAAACCACCACAGCACACACATTTCTGGTGTACATTTAGTAAGAATGGTTCGCCTGGAAAAAAAAAACCATCAATGGTGGCAATAGTTTTATGTTCATTTTCTTCAGAAATTCTGCCTCCCACTCTCCCTGTTTTTGTTCTTTTAAGGTTTGCTTTACCACAGGCTTCCTCACTAGTCTGATTTGGAGCAGGAGAGCACACACTCGAGCATCAGTACAGCACTCTGACTGCAGGAGAAGAGCAGGAGCAAACAGGGCAGGCTGGAGGCAGCGCTTGTTTCAAAGGCACCATTGCTCCCTGTTCTGCACGAGAGCTCCACTTTCCAATCCCCTCTATCTTTGAAGACACCACAATACTGGACTGCTTTGGACTGTCGCAGGCAAAACAGCTCTTTTACAGGTTTCCCTGTTACTACTAAAAAGCTTGCACAAAAACAATCCTATGGTGGTGATAAACAATACTAATAACTAAATGATTTAGCTTACTCAGAAGCTAAACTCCACGAAGAATACAAACTGAAATTAAGCTGAGACTTCAGCAATTTTGTTTTTTAAGATTCTTTTTCATTAGACATCAAGCTATACCATCAGACATAAAAGGCATTTCTTTCCAAGCAATAGAGACTGCAGCAGATACCAGCAGAGCTATCTGAAAGACATATTCTGCTATCAGAATTCATGTGGCCATTTCTCAGTGAGTTAACTGGAAAGATTGAACATCTCTAATTAGCAGTTGGCTTTGAAAACTGACAGAAAACTAGCCTGTTGAGCACTTAAACTCTCAGAACTGCAAACTAATGTTGCCATTAGTTAACTATGTAGTCTCACCATCAACTTTAATCTTACAAGCAGAATGCAAATCAAACTCATTAACATAACTGTTCAGTTGGGTAATAAAAAGATAAACTCTTTAAAAAATAAAACTGAAATTATCAAATTCATTTAAAGACAAAAATCCCTACAAAGCTAGTAATTTAAAAAGTACAAAGAAAAGGAACAGCAATCATTAGGCACAACCAAATTAACATCCCAGATTAACTGCAATTTTTACATTTCTTGACCTTTTCCATTTTTCCCTCTACAGCTTCAAAAGCGAATTTAACAGGCTTTTGGGTTTTCACATTCAGCTTTCAAGACATATAAAAATATGGCCGAGAAGTACTTGGTGTCTTCAAGTACTGCCTGCCAAATCGTCAACATTAATGCTAACATTTCCCTAAGCCAACCCAAATACCCTCCTTTGTGAGGTACATTGTCATCTACTGAGGTACATTGTCACCTACTGATTATTTTTAGAAACTCAACTCAGATTTGTAGCTTTGCATAACTGAAGCCTCCACTTCTCTTCTAGTTAGCTTTGGACATTTACATGAAATTCTAGACAACAGAAGGTGTGGAGAGATGTGTTAGGCAGCTCATAAGTACAGCTACTCCATTTTTTTGTGGTCCTCTCAGTGGGCTACAGCGCCCCAACAACAACAGAAGAAGGGAATTGAAGATGCAGATCATATACCTGGGAACTTGATGATACTTGGTCAAAGCCTAAACAGGTCCAGACCCAGCCCACAACCCCCATTACATAAGAGCTGAACTACTTGGCAGTGTTGGGTTAACAGTGGGATTTGATAATCTTAAAGGTTCCTGACTTAAAAGGTTCTATGATTCCACAGGGACTGTCCCTCCATCAGCCAAGAGCAGCCATCCTCAAGCTGCTCCTCACAGCACAGGCACCTTGGCCATTTCTGTTTTGCTCCACCAACTCCCTAAAAAAGGAAGTCACAGCACTTTGCTTCTCTACAAAAATGCTCCTCAAGCTGTAAAAGGTGCAAGCAAAGCTTGAAGTCTGTGGTAACCTTTAACAGCAACAAGAAGACAACACATAACAGGAAGAGCACTTATCACATCCCTCCATACAGCAGAGGCAAAGAGCAGCCACTCAGACAACTGCAGCTTACAGGGCACTTTTCTGTCAGGTAGTGACATGAGGAGTTTCAGATTCAACACCTGGAGAAGAAAGAGATACAGTCCCAGCATTATGGATTTTGTTTCCTCTACATAAATGAGCAAGTGAAGACAGGGAATGAAGCAGCCTGCCACCTGAACTGAAGAGTCTCTGCTACCTGATAGGACCAATCCTACCAAAATCCTTCCCCATAAAACTGAATCCAAAAACCACCAGTTTCTTCATCGGTACAAGGCAGGGGGAAAACTTCCATTTCAAATCCATGTTATTTACAGACCCAGCATAAAGTCTCGGTCTGGTAAAGAAGGCAGACTGGATCACAATGGTTTCATAATGAGGGAAGACTAGATAATCTAATATAAAAAAATCAAAGAGCTTCCTACTTAAGTTAGACCATAAAAATCAAAAGGAGAGTAACTAAATGTCCCATTATAATTCATATAATATATAATGGCAAAATGATGTGATTAAAGATTTCTGAATGCACAAAACCACGGAAGTTTGTAACTGAAATAATTTTTTTCTCAACCATTTTTACAGGGAAGTTAACAGGTCTGCAGGCACTGCCACATAAGCTTACACAGACAAACTAAATCTGCTCCATCACAGCTTGTTTTCAAGGGCTTATTTTCCTAACTAACAACTGAAGAGATAAATATACTGTTGTGTCCACCACATCCCAGTTTAGGGCTGCACAAGTCTATGAAACCAGTCTGGGTCCAAGTTACGTGCTCAACTGCACTGCCACAGCTGACAGCAGAACCCTCTGCGGCACTTCGGCAAGCAGTTGTTGCCATCCCAAGGACAGTAAGGAAAGACTCAATGCCAGAAAAACCCTCATATTAACTCTGGTACACGACTGCCACCTGGAGGATTTGGGGACAAAAGCCAGATTGATTCAGTTCATCTCACTATAACAGCAGATAATTATTTTAGATGCAAGTTCCCCTCTTCCTTGCCAACACAGCATGATTATGAATTAGTTTTGCAATGAGAGAACCTAGCACAGAGTAAAACAGGCAAATACTCTTCTAGATATCTTTCAAAAAGTCTGCAAATCCAGCACATCTATACTTCCTTTTTCTGCATTGCAAATTACTCTGCATAACTCAAAATTAACCATGAATTAGTGTCATCTCTAGAAATCTGGGCCACAAATAGGAGGAATTTTGCTGGTATTAATTTTAATTTTCCCTTTTCAGTACCCAGCATTTTCATTTCAAGTTCAGCATCTGTATTACTGGCAGAACCCACTCCAGGACTTCTGGAGGCTGCACTGTAATGCACATTTAATGTCAGGACTTGGTCTATCAATACATTTTACACCAAAACCAATTAACAACTACCAATCAAAAACATAACCCTTACTCCTTCCACTTTTGTAGTATTAAAAAATACAAAAGAATCCTTTATTGTAGATAACAACTGAGTAGACAAAAGCACAGAATCTGAGTTCATCCTCTTCCCCAACTGTCTCACAAGCACCCCCTGTGACAGTAACTGTCCATCTAACAAGGTTCTAGAGGACAAAAAGGCATAGAAGATGAATGACTAGTAAGCTAAGCTCAAATTTTATGCAAGCTTTTTCCTCCCTGTATTTAGTCCTCCTCTTCTTTCCGGTTTGCTGACCATAACTTTCCCTTTCCACAAACCCCAAAAGACTGAAATACTCAGATCAAGGCAAACTCCCATCAAGTTCTGCCCTCGAGGTCAATGCAGCTCGAGCGCCTCGATGAAAAAGCATGAAGGAGTTTTTACAGATAAAATAGTACATAAAATATTTCAGTAAATTTCCACAGGCACATGCGAAACACAGCTTTACTAAATAAAAAGGTGCATTAAACATGTCAAGGGACGCTGCAAACTAAGAGTACACATTCAGCATTTATGGCAGTGCAAATGGGCCACTGCAATAAGTTGCTTATAATTTACTTGCAACAAAAACTATTTGAAGCAGCCTACTCCTGCACTAAAAATTTTAACAAATGCTTTAAGTTTACAAGTTCCCTTTCTCCCTAGCTGCAAAAGCAATCAGATAATTTCCCACAAGCAACAGTCTTCCCATCAGCCTCAAATTAGTGTACTGCAAACTCATGTAGACTTGCAGATGGAGAGCCTTAATGCATGTTTGCTGTACAAGAGCCATAAGCTCTACATCATCCTGACTTGGTGCTGCAGTTTCAGTGCTGCCTGCAGTCTTCCATTTTTATGACCATGTCTGTGTATTTGTCACTGCCCTAAAACCTCCAGGCTTAGTCACTAAGTAACAGTAACTTAAAAGACTTTAATGCACACAGGTTATTGTAAATCTCGAATAATAAATGCCTGCCTAGCATTTAAAGAAAAAATATGCACATTTAATTTAGTTTATAACATATTTTTAAATCAAAAGCCATCAAAACAAATAGAAATTCGGAGCAAACAACCAGCAAACAGTAAACCTGTTTCAAGACAGGAAAACAGCACACGCAGCAGCCCTGCACGCCTCTGCTATCTCTGCCAGTTTCAGACAAACCTGAGAGGGGGACAGCAGTCTCAAAACTACAAAGTTTCTGCTGGTTTTGTAAAAACAGGCAGCTGGATGGGCAAGATGCATGCAAAGTTAAAACTAGACAAAAGCTTCTGAAAAATAATTTGAATTTAAATTTTCACTAGAGATGCGACTCTGAACTCTGCAGCAGGACAGGCCAAGCGGAGGGCACTGAGCACCTCCCTGGGTTCAGGGATGGGTTGAGGCCAGGCAGGATGTCAGCCTGCATGTGGGGGTCAGGGACAGGCCCAGCAAGGGGAACAAGGTCAAATAAAGCCCTGGGATGGCCCAGGAGGGCCACAGGGATGGGCTGAGGCCAGGCAGGACATGGGCCTGGCTCTACAGGGCCCAAGGCTGTGGGGAGCTGGAGAACAGCACTGCTGCACAGTCCCTGGGGTAGGGACTGACATCCCTGGAGTTCAAGATGGGGCCCAGGGCCACGGGCAGCACTGGGGGAACCCCAGGAAGAAGCTGGTCAGGGACAGCAAGGGCCAGCAGTGCCTGGTTTATGCCCAAGATACTTATCAGATGCTGTTTTTCTCAACTTACTACCAAGCATTTAAAGGCAATTTCTGGAACAAAAGAAGCTGAGCTTCCCCAGACACAGTATGTGTCAGGATCACAAGCTCAGTATTCCTTGCAGTGCCTTTTCTTTGTCTTGCATTTCTCAGCTACATCTTCCAGTTTGCTGCTGCACTGCTGGCACATCAACCTTTTCAGGTGAGACTGTTTTCTTATCCTTTGATCAGTGTCAGAAGTCCCAGACTTCACCTTTCTCAGCTTCTTTAAACAAAAATCTGAAGAGAGATCTGGACTGTCAGGGTTTGCTCTGTGCTCAGCTTTCTTCCTTGCACTCTCTTCAGCTTCTTATTTGGTTTTTCTCCTGTCCGCTACAAGGAAAATACTTATGAAAACAGTTTCTCCCAACAACTACCACAAGACAGGGGACTCCCACCTAGACACAGTGAAAAAGTGATCAGAGAACTCCACACCTTCAGACACTCGACTCATAGCCTGCCTTTCTAAAAAAGCAGCTGCCAGCAAATCAATGCAAACTGGCAAAGAGCTCCGTGGAACTCCATCTTCCAGGATGCAATTACAGTATAATGGAGAGAGGGAAAAGTAGCTCCCTCTTAGACTCTGTATTGCTGTGCTTCCTGCTGGGATGTGTTCAAATGTTATGACTGACAGGCATCTGTTAAGAACTTGGGTATGAAGAAAAATAAAAAGCAAAGCACATTCATTCCAATTAGTAGAATGAGGAATTTTAATTCAAATGCTCTCCAAATTTGGTGAGAAGTCACAGAGAACAACTTCTTTTGGCTAGTTTGAGATGGTCTGAACTGGCTGTCAATTATGAAGTGAATATCTATTGTTCAAAATTAGACTCAGCTAAGAAAAGCACACGCCTCAAACACTTTGTGTGCAATTAACAAAGTTCCTTGGAGCTCAAATGTGCATGACAACCCTTCTCCACTGGTATCTGACTTATCCAGGGTCGAACCAGGCAAGTCCAGAAAGCCAATTTCAAGGCAGGTCCTTTATAAGCTCCAAGACAGTAACACAGCTAGGGCTAAGTGTGAGGCTGTACTCTTATCTGACTGTGATGACTCCCAATTAAGAATTAGAACTAGACTAGCACAGAGGCTACCAAAGCTTTCACGAGGTTGTGCTTTGTGAGGACTTTCCTCTCAAAAGGTCAACAGGACAATACACAGCTGCCCCCTCTAGAACATGAAGAGGTCATTGCGTGGGTAGTGAAAGAACTTACCAGCTCACAACCCAGCAAGTGACAGGTACCTCACAAGAAGAGCTGACTTGCCACCCCTTGAGACAGACAGCATTAAAAGGAATGGTGGGATCAGGCTAACCTGCAACCATATTTTACACTGCCATCAAGACCACGACAATGAAGAGCATTGATGGTGTTATGCTGAGACAGCCAGGTCATGCCCATTTCCAAAATGTGTCTCATCATAATGATCTCTCGTCTCTCTCCGTCTCTGTCTCTCTCTGTCTCTCTCTGTTACTGTCTCCCTCTGTCTCTCTCTCTCTGTCCTACTCTCTCTCCTCTCTCTCTTCTCTCTCTCTCTTCTCTCTCTCTTCTCTCTCTCTTTTCTCTCTCTCCCTCTCCTCACTCTCTCTCTTCTCTCTCTCTTTTCTCTCTCTCCCTCTCCTCACTCTCTCTCTTCTCTCTCT